AATCAGAAATAGTAACTGGCTCAGAAGGGAGAGTTAGCAGTTGGACTGTTTTTGGTTCTCTGCACGTAAACGCCAGATGGCACGGGCTGAAGTTAGGGGGCATGTTGAAATCCATCATGTGAACATCCTGGCAGCCTGGTGCAGTGCCTTCATCCTTACCTAAGCTCTTACTTCCAGTGGGAATGTCATGTTTTGGTCAGCACTGAACATGGAGAAAAGACGACTGTATTTCAGCTTTAACAGCCTGGCACCTACCTGACAGCTCAAGAAATACCTACTTGATCAGAACATTTATTCGGCAAGCCTGAATTTTTTTCACCTATGGGCAAAGAATAAAGCAAGTGGGAGCACAGGGAGGAGCAGACGTTTTTCAACTCCAGGTGCTGCCCAGCAAGACCCCACATACCTGTCACGGAGCGTGTTGGGACCCAAGTAGGGGTACTGGCTGTCCTTCAGTTTTCCTTTGATGAGCTGATCCAGTGTTTCTTGAAGGAGAGGCTGGTGTTGTGTGTACACATTCTCAACACCCTACAGTGCAAAAGAAGCTCCCATTATGAATAAATACAGCAAGGCAGCATGCTGAAAGAAAGCTGATCAGCAAAGCCACACTCAAAGAGCCCCAGCCTCTGATGGATATAGCAACTATTAACCACTGAGTCAAGACTTAGAGGGGCTTTTCAGCAACCAACTTCCATTGCCTAAAATGAGAATTACACCTCAAACGTTCAGTGCACTTACTATTAGACCTCTAAAAAGCCATTAAACTCTGTGTCATGGTTTTATCGCTCTTTGCATCGGTATTCTACATTCACAGCACCATGCCAGGGTGGGAGCTGAGGAGTTCATGGGGCAGGTCCATGTTCTGAAGAGAAGAATGAACTACAGCTTCCATGGGCCAGGAAAAGACTCAGCACCAGAAGACTTCATTTTGTTATTTTCTGTCTTCCGGCAGGAGGGAAAAGACAAAAGAATGGAGAGGTCACGCGATCTCTGCCTCTTTCCAGCTCCCTGGTGGCCGATGCAACATCAGAGACTCAGTACCAAAAACTCTCTTTCATTCATTTGATTTATTAGCTTCAATTCCAATTAGTTTGCATTTCATTAAGGTTATTTCCTTAAATCACTGCCACTGGGTTTTTTTGTTCCTCTTTTATCTGGGCCCATCCCCACCACCACCCTTCTGGCCACTGAGCCACGTAGGCCCCTGTGAAAGAGACAGACCCAGGCCTAGAACATGAACACCTCTGAAAGCCAGAACGCACGGCTAAGAATCCTGCCCCATTACTGGAGCTTTGACTAAAGCTGTCATTATTCCATTTACAGCAGATCCATACCTTCAGTCCTTTGAGGAACTGTTTTGTGATGGCTACAGCATCCTTGGGACTGAACAGGTCGCTGCCCCGGACCCGTTTCCCTCCATATTCCACAACAGCAGAGACCAGCTGTACAGAGAGAGGCAAAACCAGAGTGCTGTTAACCTGGGAAACAAAATTTCACACGGCCGTCCTATCAGGTTCAGTGGAGGCACTGGGAAATGACCAAGAAGTCAGAGAGAGGAAAGAAGGAAGGGAAGTGTTCTCTGAACACAAGAAGCCATGGCACTGCCTGCATAAGGAGAAATGCTTTCATTCCCACAGTCCTCTGCAGTGACAGCAGATCAGAAGATGAAGATACAGTGACATTATCCTGCCCCTCCACCTCCTCTCCAGCTGCTCACTACATTTGTCAAGCTCTGCCACCCTCTCCCTCCCAGCCAAGCCCCCCTTACTGTTTTGGTTAAGTCCCTTGCTACAGCTATTGCCTATTCAGCAGGAGGTGGAAGAAGGAGAAAGGAAAAGTGCGTGCCATACACCAGGTCTAGACTCCTGCCAAACACTCCATCTCTGCTTTGTAGAATCCTTCATGATATCACTGATTTTGGAAATGGACATTAAGTAATTAGCGACGCCTTTAACATCTATAGGCCCCAGCCAAGCTCCGTGCTCTTACTGAGAAGTGTGGTGCAATTCAACAGAAAAAAAGTATTATGCTACGTTAAGGCAAGCAACAGGCATCCTCCAGAACTAAGAACAATCCGACACCTGTGTGCCCTTCTGCCCCGCTCATTCATCCAGCAGAAGGAGAAATACTGCATTACCTTTCGGTATCTCTCAGAAACACCCCTATTCTTGAGATCTGCCATCAGCCCTGGCAGGCTGTTGCTGCTGTGCCGCTCGTAGTGCAGGGCATAGAGCATCACCAGCCGGGCAGCATCGAGCTCAGTCACCTTGGGGTTCTGCAGGAGGCGCCGCACATTCTGCAACAAGATACAAAGTGGGATTAATGGAGAGGCCTTCAGAGCACATTAAATCAGATAACATCAAGCCCATTGCTTAGTAACAAAATTGCAAGCAGGGGGAACGCAGGGAATTAAGCGACCATAAGCAACAGACCTGAGCTTCTTATATGCTCTTTGTTTAGATTTACTGCAGTATAATGGACTGCAAGTTGTTTTCATGACTGGAATCCCCTGTAATTCTCTGTAACTCTCATAATGAGCTTCACAGTGAGCCCAGCTCAGTGCACTCCTCCCAGATGGGGTCGCAGAAGCTTGCAGAAACCTTTAATCTTTGCCCTTTCCTTTTCCAACCTGAATACAGCAAAAGCTGGCCCACAGGTTCCATCGTAATATCAACCATCAAGGAAAAAGTGCTAGCAGAGCTACAGTTTGTTTTGTTGTGGAAGGTGTGGGAATGAAGCATCGAAGTCTCAGACAATCTCTGGATGTGAGAAGTGTGGGGCTGGGGGGAAGCAAACAAAGCACTTTGAAACAAAGAATTAAAGCACGGAAAGGCAAAGAAAGATTACTGGAGAAATAAATACAGAAATCCACAGTTATTTACTTCTAACATGCAGATTATTCGTTTTTCTGCCGAACAGAACATGGCAGCATTGTAAACACAAGGACTGCACATCCCAGAGGCCACCAGCTAAAGCATTTCCAGAACAGACTCAGAAGCCCTGAGGCATGCCATGTTCCCTGCAGGGACTGCGGGCAGGACGTTATTCTATCTTGTCAGCTGACAGTTTGCCCTGTAAGTGCTACTCCTCGTCCTCACAACAAAAGCACTTATTTCCTCTCTGCAGCTTCTCAGTCGCTGCGCAGAGCCGTACAGTTGAGATACTGAACTTAACAGAGGAAAAAACACCAGAGCCAAGTTGGCAGCTTAGGAGAGCAGTGGGAGCAACAGGCCACCAACGCCAAGCCTGGAGATGGATCTCAAGGAAGAGGCAGCACTGCTGTCTGCACCTGCAGGTTAAGGACCGGACTGCACTTCAGGGCACAACAAAGTCTGCAGTCCTCCCTGTGCTTAAAGCAAAACATCAGCCTGTATTGACTCAAGTGTAAGAGAGCAGCAGAGCTTCCAGTCGTACAGCGATTGAAACGGCACTTCCAAGACAGGGACAGAACCAGCGAGGAGGATTTTTTCCATGCTACAGCAGAACATGACCTTCAAACACTCCAAAAATCCCAGCACATCTTGGCAACATTCTCCCAGCCTCCCAGAACAGAGAGGCAGCACGGAAATATTCAGTGAACAGCTGTGAAACAATACTGTAACAGTTGTTACCGACCGAACTGATTCAGCTGTGTTTGTTGCCATCCGTTCCACTGATGCAGACCAGTTACAAAAACATGGGGTGAAATCCTGGCTGCTCGCTGTTCACTGAAGCTAAAGAGGAAACTCTTCTTGCGGTCAGGGATTCACCTGCCAGGGTGAGGGCAGAGTCCCACAGCGATGCCTGCTTGCCACGTTCTGGATCCTGTGCTGGCAGCACAGTGGCAGGCAATGCCTCTATAAGCGGGAAACTTGTAAACAGAAAAGCTATTGTCCATCTAAGGAGATGGGATTCAAAACCTCCCATTCATCTCTCAAGGCTCATGTGCAATGTCAGGATTAATAAGAGACCAGGAAAAGAATAACCAAAACGTACTGTTCTCAGGGGCCCCAGGCCACCACAGAAATTAACAATTGCTGAAGTTACATCAGTGGAAGAACAATTCTGCCTTTATTTTGTGCACTGGTTATTCTTCATTGTGTCTGTGGCCTTGCCCCTTCGCTGCCATTAAGAGACTGCAGCAGGGAACAGCCTGGGGCACTGCAACTAAAGAGATACCGATCTCTCATATAGAAAGACACCACTTCCATTTTTGCATTTTGCATTTATTCTCTAGCTGCTATTTGGTTTTCAGTCCCTCTCAGTTGATAGAAACACAACACAGCCCTTTAGGCATGCGGCTGTAAAGAAATGCAGGCAGCCTATGTGCCATAAAAACTGCAGAACACCACTCAGTGCAGACCTGAATTAGGTGAGCCTCGCTAACAACCTGACCACCACCGCGTGCCACTCAGTGGGGGTGCCCTCCCTCCATCTCAATCCAGCTTCCAGCACTGCCACGTATTCCTCTAACCCTGAAGCTGTAACGTGCAATTGCTCCACCTCCAGAAGTTCACGTCAGCCCTTCCTCCAGTGAATCTGAGGTAACCGACTACAATAAAAACCAACATTTTTTCAAAATGGACCCCAATGCCAAGCACCCAACTTTCAGCACTCAAACTCTGTGCTGCCTTCAGCAGAGCATCTGCTTGTAACATCAGAAACAAAGATCACAGACAGACATGGCTGATAGACTAGAGGTCAAACATTTGTCTTTTAACCTGCACAAGAAACCTAGAAACCATGACATAGCAAGAGAGCATGAGGGGTTGTGCTCAGCAAATGCATTTTATGGTTACAATCCCACTTCAATACTTGGTCATCAAAATTCTACCAAATATAAGCTATCAAGTCCCATCTATCTGCTGGTAGATCCATAGAGCTGTGATGATTTCAGCACGTCTATGCTGATTTACATCAGCTCAGGATCTGGCAATAGACAGCAGTGCTCGAAGAGCTGATGTTATCACTTAGCCACCCACCTGGACAACAGAGTAACAGAGGTAAAGAAAACATGTCTGTCAAATCTGTTCAAAATTCTTTTTATTTTCTAATCAAAGTGTGAATGAGTCCATTATATGCTGTAACTTCTATCCCAGCTATAAAAAAATAAATGATTCGCTTTCTAATACTGAGTCAGTGGTTGAACTCTGCTATAATACAGTCACTCTTAACAATACTGCTATTTTCTCTGAATAGTTAGCAGCCACAATTCATCATTATTGACATACTGTCAGATATTAGGTCAGGTCATGGAATCCAACAAGGCAGCACAGGGTCAAAACTTCAGTCTAAACTCAGCTACAACAGAAGTCTCTTGTAGGCTTTTTCAGTCCTCTCTGCCAAAGAAATCTTTTATCTAAAAAGCTTTTCACTGTTTTACACTGTTTTTCAGAAAAGAAGTAAAAGTCATCATCCCAAGGAATGGTCTGGTTTAGTTATGGATTCCATTTCTTCTCCTTCCCAACAAATACAAGAAGCTCCTGCATAGGGGTCCAAGTTTTGTTTTACTGGTGCCTATCCAGGCAGCTTGCCAGGTCCCAACCAGCCACCTACAATGAAGGAATGCTGTGCTGTGAAACGTAGACAGACTCTGCAAAGATGCTTCTCAAGCCAGTTATTAACTCTGATTCATCCCCATCGGAACTGAACAGGTAGGAGAAGAGTAATCCTAACATCTCACGTCCCTACCCTGCAGGACATCTGCACGCAAAACTCCCACTGATTTTCAGCATCAAACTTCCATCAGCAGGAGGCTGCCAGGAGCAAAACATCTGAATTCAAAGGACCGCAGCCAGGTTCCGAGCCCGAAGTACCTGGAGGGCGCTGGAATGGTCGCTGTGACAGGCCAGCTCCTGCTCCACCTCGGACACCTCCAGCAGGTTGCGCTCACCAACCAGTCGCGAGAGCTCTCCTACCACCGTCACGTGCTTTGACACCGTGCCTGACATCTTCTTGAACTGAGGGTAGTTCTCCACGAATGCCTGCGAGGGGGAAACCAGAGCGACACCTTCTTCAGAATAAAAGCAGCAGACAAGAGTGGTTTATACAATTTGTCACTGGGTTGTACAGATCCACTAATAAGCAAGACCGCTGCAGGTGCACGGATGGTCAGGCACCTCAAATCCAGAAAAAGACTGGAAGATTTCTGCTTTTTGTTTACACCCAAAATAAAAGAACACATCAAGTAACTCCAGAGACACTGCCAGGATTCTTTAAATCGTCAGCAGCGACTGAATTAACAGACCCTGCTGTGGGCAGCTGCCAAGTGACCCAGCTCAGACAGGAAGTCTACACAGCCACACTGGGTTACGCCAAGTACCTGAACTAGAGCTTATCAACTCAGCTGGGGGGATTCTGGCTTCCAGCAGGCTCTAAAAGCAGCTCAGGGAGCAGACAGAGCAAGCAGGCAGTGCTGCAGCGGTGCAGAAAGGCCAACCCCAGGGTCTGGATCCCAGTAAAAAATACCGTGCTGAACACAGGACAGTGGTTCCTGCCCCACTGATCACTCACTGCAGAGGTCTGAACTGAATGCAGACTGCCAGCGTGCAGTCAGCAGTGACCTGCACTACCTGCCAAGTCCTGTCTGTACCTTCATATCTGCTATGGATTCCAGCTTCTGCTGCTCCTTAGGTTTCCTCTTCTGGAAATCCTCCATAAGATTCTTGATGTTACTGCCAATCTCTGCAAAGTTCAGGTACATGTTCTGCATGGAACAAGGAGGGCAGCTGAGAGAAAACCATCTGAACACGAGTTCTAATACAGCTAAGACACAGAGACACTCTGAACCCAAAACACTTCAGTACCACTGCAGATCACCTCATCTATTTGACACTCAAACTTGACCAAACAGCTTTGTGATTGGTCCAGATTTTATTTACAACTATCACAAAACCGTGTTATTGCACATCAGATACTGCCTGCACGACACAGTGACTTTCACCCTACATAAACTTTCCTCCCCTTAACACTCAAAGTCACTGAAGGACCGAAAGGTTCCAAGAACGGAACCTGACATTCAGCTACTCAGGGAGATCCCCACCGTAAGACACAGCCACCTACGTTGGCGTAGAACTCGTCGTTCTCAGCAGACAGGACCACCTCTCGGAGATCCTTACTGATGCCCGGCACACGCGAGAGGTCAACGCGGTTGTTGTTGATGCCCAGCAATTCATGAACCATAGCCTGGTACGTCCACTGGCACATGGGGAGAGAGAAAGGCGAGCATTGGCTTCAGCACGGTACCACACTGCGCTGGAAAAGATTTCAGGCTGCTCAAGGTCATTTCCCATTCCTCCCGTAACAGGGCGGACTCAGAGGGTCTCCTCCTCAAACTTCTGTCAGAACATTACAGTCAGAAATAAATGCTGTTCCTATCACAAAGGATCTCGGTGTCAGAGGTGCTGATGCCAACACGTAGGAAAACCACCCCCATCCGAGGCTGCTTACCGCAGGTACGTTCAAAGGAAATGACTCTAAAAGCACAACTGGGATTCGTATTCCTGTTCCAGCAGCTCTATTTGCCACCATTAGCTCCCCCTTCTCCTGTGAATGAACATTTATTTTTGGCTGCAGAGGTTCCACAGTTACAAACTATGATTTCCTACACACTCCTGTGTTTCTTACACAGCAATTGGAGAGTTCCTGTACATCAGTGAGCTACTATATTTATTCTGGGAAGACTCATTTCAATTTAGAGAGAAAACTGAAGGCTGATCAGAGTGCTGGCATGCCTGACGCTGCATTTACATTCATTTGACTCTCTCTTCTGGACAGAAAATCTCCACACAGCAGACAACACTTTTGGTACCCTGTGCTGAGTGCTGTCCTTAACTCTACAAGCCACATGTGAGCTTGGCTGCTGACTATCAGATTGCTCCAGTGCACAAGGATCGCCACCAGCTCCCACACAGCGCTGCCTGCAGCTGGGGTAACCCAGAGTGACTTGAGATCTGAGCATATCCCACAGGAAGGAGAGAAACAGAGCGATGCCAGGTCTGCAGCCCAGCGACAACGCAGCAAAGAAACAAACACAGAAAAATGCTGCCACCCATCAACAACAAAGAACGAGAAATTCGCCCGGACAAGGCCACTCTGTAAACGTGGCCACGTGCTACCAAGCAGCCTGCACAGACACACCATTTAACACAACACTGCTGAGACACCAGGACTCTAAATGCAAAGTGTGTCTTGTGAAAGTGTACTTGATCTGATCTTTGGCCACCTCTGCCTCTGAAGCCAACACGTACAATCCACGCTCAACAGTCTGAAAATTGAGCCACAAGATAAAAGAAAGATTGCAGAAGAACGGGGGCGATACTTTTTACCCCTGAATACAAACCGCACCGTCAGGCTGTGAGCAACTGCCACGAGGCTCTGCGCACTGCCAGCACTCACTGCTACCCCTCGGACAGCTGAGGTGATTCACCTGGTTCAGCAGGGGGGTGATGGCATCGTCTGAGCGGTCCAGAATAAGGAGCAAAGGAGGAACCTCAGTGCGACGGAAGTCAAACAGCTCATACTCTTTAGTGATTACTTGCTGTTGAGAAACATACAAACAAAAACACACTTGGTTATAAGTATACCTGGAAAAAGTTCCCCCTCGCTTTTGTAACGGATGAATAAAAAGTGAAAAGCTGGAGAAAAACAAGTTGCACTGCTATCTCAGTCTACACTGCTATTGAGAAAACAGCTCCTGCTTTCAAAAGGCATCAGTAACACACTGCAGTTAATGGGACTTGTGAGAAATAAGGGCCTTCGCTTCTTGCATAGGTTGGGGGAGGCAGAAACAAGGGGATGCGACCTGCCGAAAGCCACGTAACATAGAAATGGAAGGACTGACAAGAACTGGCTAAAGAACATTATGGAAAAAACGTTCAACAAAAATTAAGCAAAGTTGCCAAACTCACTTAACAGTGCTCACCGCACCTTCACACATTCAGCAAGCCTCTTTGCTGGCTCAGAAGAGAGTTGGTATCGAATCATGGGGCATTTCTTCAGGGACAGAAGCAGAGCAGTCAGCCCTTGAGTTGTCCTGGACAGCTGGGCTGGATCCCAGCTGCGACCCTAGAAGGAAAGGTTGCTTGAGAGGTGGACGTGCCATCCCCAGCCCTTTGTCCCATGAAGCTGCATTTCCCTCCAAGCAGAACTACATGTTGACTACAGGAGCAGGTACACCAAAGGCCACAGTCCAGACTGTAATTCCTGCTAACAACCAGCCACCCTCTGGGGCTGGACACGGCATTCTGCCTGCTGGGCAACCACTGCCACTGCACCCACTTGGCTGTGGCTACTGGGCTCTCTGTCACCACAAAACAAGGCCCCGGAGCCCTGCAGGACAGTTAGCTTTTTGCATACCTGGCAGCAGCCCAAGAGGTTGAGAGAAAAAACGTGTGGATTCACTGCAATGTAATCTCCATAGAACTCCTGCCAACAAGTGAAAGCAAATACAGTTAATGCCCTGCCAAGCCCTGTTCAGCCCACAAGAGCATGTGTATTGGCAACGGTAAAACCCTAAGCGCTGCACTCACTGACTCTGATCACTTCTCCTTCCTCCATGCCTACATACTCATAATCTTTACACTTCTGCTGACAACTCCACTGCACTTCCTGTTGTACTTTTCATGTAGATAGCTCTCTATTGATGCCAACAAACACGCAGCAGCCTTGTGAAACGATGCCAGCAGCACCAGCAGCAGCTCCAGCAACTGGAGGGCAGAGAGAAATGGAACACACGGGTTTTCCGCAGTGTTGTTGCTCACTGTTCAAGACCTCCAGAGTTCTCCTTTTGAGACATGCATGTTTGCTAGCGTGTGTATTCACCTCCTAATGCCCTCGGATTAAGAAATCTACTTAAAAGATTCAAAATTCACCTGAATTTCTGCCACAACTTCCTGTTCATCAGCCTCAGCTAATGCCTTGATATCACTCTTACTGATCACATTACTGAAATCTGAAAGAAAACAACAGAGAAAGAGCAGTTGGGCTCCGTGAGTGACACAGAACACAAGAACACCACAGCACAGCATGACCCGATTCTCCCCTGGAGCAGGAGTGGACTGCAACACAATTTGCCTTCACACCCATAATTACTGTGCAGGTAGCCTCTCTTGCCTCTCCCTGCTCAGCATCTGCTCAATTAGGTAACGCCATACACGGCTGTAATTAGTAGATTTATAAAGCTAAAAGATAAGCACTGTTAACTAGTTTAACACTGTGGCCAGCTTACTGCAAGCTGGAGCTTCTCAGCATCGCCGTGTCAGCAGGTCACCACCACCCGCCCCTGCAACCCGGAGCTGCTCCTCCAGCACTGCGGGCCCACAGGGACACCTGGAGGCCACTGCGGATCACTGCCCAGAACCTGGCGCGCACGACGGCTGCACCTCACCAGAAAGGCCGCTGTAGTTACATTTCCATTTCCAAACCTACCGAATATTCGACAGCACGAACAGAACGCGTGAGGAACTCCTGCCTCATCCACCAGGGCTACAAGACGCTGCGTTCTGGGTTTGGCCCAACAAGTTAACATTGTCTCTGAATGATTTACCTTCAAGAGTTGGGCCAGTGTCTCATCTCTGTTTCCACTGTAATAAAGGCACTCTAAAGCCAGCTTCTTTCATGTTTACGAAGCACCGCGAGGCTTCAAAATCCCTGAAGTTTTCAGGAACAGCCATAGCAGAGTGATATGGGTTATGGCATTGCTTTAGGAAGATTCTTATCAGTTGTTTCAGTTTAACTATTTTATTTTATATGCACGTAACTTTTTCTAAAACAATTTCATAGAATGGCTTCAGTTGGAAGGGATCTCAGA